GGGATCATTTCCGGTCCAATTTGGGGATCATTTGCGGTCCGGGATCATTTGCGGTCCTGGGGTCATTTGCGGACCCGTACAGTTCAGTTAGTTGGGGCGCAGCGCAAAAATCGCGAAAATTGTCGTTCCTCACCCCTATTTTTTCGCTCGCCGATTTTCGCGCTGCGCCCCAACCTACTGAACGCCTGGAAGAAGCTAAAATTACCCAGATACACATCGTAGTGACACAACGCAATACCAAAGACGGTTTCGTTAACTTTATTTCGTGATTTCGACATTATCTATCGACAGAAAGTCTCAGTTCTAATTCCATATACACTCTTACATTTTTTTCAAAATATCATTTATATCTATTCAAACATTAGGCTTGGGTCAACTATGGTCCGTACACACTACGCCGCAGAAATTTAAAAACGCAGCTTTATTTCTACAGTTTGGCCTATGTCCACACTAATCTGGCACGGAAACTGAACTTTTTTGGAAAAAAAAAAGAAAAAAAAAACTTTGATATAACACGTAAAACAGAAACACTTTTTATCGCTATTTTCCTTCGGGCTAATCCTAAAAAAAACTGGCAGCGTGGATAACATCAGTGAATGTGAATTTTATTTTATTCAGTAAGCGAGAATTCCATTACTTACTTTTCGCGCCAAGAGCAATTTATCCTTTTGACAATTTGACACCATAGAAAAAAGTCAAACAAACCCAGACATTGCCACATCCGTCTTCTTTTCGACGCTTATAATGACCACGTGAGATAAAGTTATATAAAATATACTTTTAATTTTCCTTACAATATATGTTTACTTGTGAAACTCGTAGAAAAAGCTAACCAAACACACATATGCTCGACATTTATCTGTGTGACTATCATTCAGGATGATCTGTTATTTATAATTAAGTCACAAATATTTCCCTAGTGTGAGAGACCTTGGATTCAAGTCAGTTTAAGTCCGCGCTGAAACTTATAATCAACATTTCGGAACGGTGACGAGAGAAAGAAAATAATCGACTGGACGATATTATATTGATGTAAGATCACTTTCTCAGAACCAACATTAAGAGCTGAATATAACAACCAGTATGGAGAATTGAGACGCTCATAAAAAAAAAATATAAAAAACAGTAAGCTGTACCGCTAGATAGGACTGATATTGGTGAAAATCTGAATACGCAGACTCATCGAAAGATATTTACAAATTTCATCAACAGAGTCTTCCTGCAGTCCATACCGGCTATGTCTATACCACAGGGCCATACATCACGAAGACCCGAGGGGTAAAGCAAACATCCCCGTCACATCTATACGGTCCTATACAAGACCCCCGTCCGATACACTCTCTCAAAAACGAGATGCAAAGGACTAACTCTCACTTTGTCATGAAATCATTCTTTAGCTAATTGCATATCAGCCAATATATTTTGACTGGATTTACGCGAGCCTAATATGAAACAATTGACAGCTTCTTCTCTTTATGTTCTTGTCTGTAGACTCATTTTCTGTGCTAAGCCAGCAAACTCTTTGTGTCCGGAGGCTCCTTTCTGTTTCACATACTCCAGAGTGCGCAGCTGTTGAGATGAATCAGCATGAACAATATTAATTAAAGCAACACAACACGCTTTTATACGGCAAATCGACTCAAAAGCGCTGGAAGAACACGGCACGAGTTGTTCTTCCAAAGTTTGTTAGGGCGTCGATAATTTTTAAAAATATCTCTGTTGTGGCAAAGTGAACATTCCTATTGAGTTACACTATCATACTGCGAGAGCATCCAGTCTTTTCGTTTTTTTTTTCTCCGCGGGTGAAATAAGAACCTAAAAAAAATCAGGATTCTCTCGAAGTTTTCTACACTCTGACAACAGCTTCAACCTCTATGACCTTTGAAGACTAAGTTTCTGTATCAGTTGTTTTGTATGAGAAAAACACCTATACTTACCGTGTATTTAGTATTTCCAAAGCCGTGTTTCTGAGCGAGATTCCACAGGTTCAGGGCTAAGGTAGCTAACTGAGGTTGCGACAGGTCCGCGTGACATAACAGCCTTGTAAAACACAACACAATATTTAGCTGGGACTTTCTAAACATGCATGACTCTTTTTATCGCTGAAAATTCAAGAGATTAAAAGAAAAACACTTTTCCAAACAACGAGAAAAAGTTCATGAATTGATTTACATGTAACAGTTTTGAGATCTCTCAGTCCGTTTTTCGACTGTTTAACCAATCAAGAACCAAGTTCGTCTAGGAGGCGAAGAAGTCAAACAGTCATGCATGTGCAAAAAACTTGCACGTACAACGAAGGACAGCTTTCGGTTCTTTGATTGACCAATATGTTTGAAAACTGAATAAAAATGACAAAAGTTAACTTAATGTCTCAGCAAGTGGAACCGATGTGCTGCGTAACATTATCATTCCAAAATTGAATGAACAATGAACTCGAGTACTATATTTAGCTGAGCGTAGAATGTAATCCCATTTTGCTGCGTACCTGTTGAAGAACCCAATGGCTATTGCCGCTTGTCTCTTCAACGCCTTAAGACAAAATACAAAAAAGAAAAACACATATATTATTATAGATAAGCAAAGGGACTTCAAAGAAATCTTAGTCACCTAATTGAATTCAATTGATTTGGTTGTAACTTTTTTAATTCTATGGATGAAACTCTAGTGTGTGACCATTGAAATGAAAGCTATTGAGCAGTACGTTCGTGTGGTATTGCCTGTTTACAATTATTTTCCAATTAAGAACGTCGGTAGATTGGAGCAGAAGGTTTACTTACTTCGTCGGAAGTTAAAGACTTCAAGTGCTCAAACACTGCTTCCATCAATGTAGAAACAATTTTGTTGATCTCGGCCAGGAATTTCTTGTCACAGCCATACAGTCTGTCGTTTGAGTCCACTGTAAAATAAATCTCTTTTTATATTACTTATTCCTTTTCTCCAAAATAGCAGAATTCGCTAATTAGTTTATTTCTTTCTTCATTTGGCAGTTGTTAATCACAGAGTGAAAACCACACATTACACATGGCCTAAAAGCGAGCAAAACCTAAAAACGTACCTCTCTCGACGTGATATATGAAGTATTCCTACGGAGACAAGAAAGGAAAGAAAATATCAACGGAGAGGTGGACCATGTGGCTTTTGAGGGAGGGGGGGAGGGGGGGCGGTAGCTGATTTTGGAAAAAATATCCTACAAGCATTCTTGTACAAAAAAATAATCATACATACGACCACTGCCGAAGAAAAAATTCACGCAAGTTCATTGAGCCGAAAAAAATCATGTTACAGGGAGAACAAAATATCATGTCTACGTCTCGAGAAACAGATTTTCTGGTGCATGAAAGGGTTGAAAAAAATTCGCGCCTGTACTAGATCACCCACCCATCCCACCCTTCCTCAAAAGTCAAATAGTTCACCCCCAAGGTTAAAAATTGGTAGTCCTTTTATTTCTTTATCTTGTTCTTTTTGAGAGCCTCTGACCCTTCTTTCTAGGAACTATGTCAACAACAGCAAAAAACAAGGCCAACGCCGCTCTTAATTTAATTCCCCAACTAACATGCTGAAAATGTAGAACATATAAAGCGCTAAAACGTGAATGATTAGTTCATAACCTCGCGCACTTGACAGAATCCTCGAGAAATCTTCAATGGTTTTCTGGCCGGAATATAGGTCTGCGATTACGAGGAAATATAGTCTAATAAACTGACTACTTAGTTTATTGTGACAGAACTAGGAGAGGTTAAAACTTTATCACTGATGAAAGAGTCATTATATGAACAATGGAGTTACAAGGATACAAAACCAACCTGACTCATGGCGGAGAGAAGGCAAATGGCGTTCAGATAAATACTCATCTTTGCACCACTGTTTAATTCCCAAGTGTATTCCTGCACAACATTCAACATTCCTCGCACAAGATACAACGCACCTTGATCAGGTGAATCCTGGAAAAAACACACAACAGTCAAACATCGCGCAATCATGAAACTGAGAATAATAACACCAACAACATCTTACCGGAACCACCAACAATGTGGAGAAGAAGTTGTTCATGTAGGCGAGAAGAAACGGCTCTGAGGGTTTCACCTTATGGTCGATTTCTAAACACAACACAAAAAGAAAAATTAAAACGTTTGCAGACAGTCCTTCTCGAAGGACGACTTATTTTGCAGGCTAGCAGATCAAGTTCTTTAAAAAGTTCTTTACATTTTGTCCGTCCAACACCGAACTTACAAGTCTCGCGTGTTGACAAGAATGTTTTTCATAGCATGTTAAAAGGTAAACAGCTGAAAATGAAAGCAGAGACACACAAAAAACACCTTTCATTTTTGAGGCAAAGCAGTGTCTTGTAGTATGGATCATAAATGTGTTGAGAGTGTGAGATGGAAAAAGTTAAGTAGGTACAACGGATATGCAAAATCCCCTAACTTGCTTTAAGATCAGCCATATAAATATCAGCGTTCACGAAAAACAAAACAGGTTCAAAAAAAGGGGGGGGGGGCAACTCTAACAAACATTGTTTAACAATAACAAAGTATAAAATAAAGTCACACCGAAAATTTGGATAGCGCTCCCAATTAATTAGAGAAGCTACTGCAAAATGTTCAAACCTCCCGGTATTTGAACCTCTCTTGCTGCATTTTTCCCGTAAATTTCTTGGATCTCTCGAATCCCGGCAAAATTTCAAGTTTCCTGGAAGAATTTTTTCTCCCGAAACAGGCCGCCTTCTTCCCCACAACAAATAACACGGTGGGCTATTCCATGAAGAGCACGTAGACGGGTAGCTAGTTATTATTTGAATTCAATTGCCGTTCTTACCAATCGTACGAGGAACTTCGGTAATAAGACTTATGGCCGCCTTGAAAAATGCATCCGCTGAAATGAAAAATGCCAATCATATTTAACAGTTGCGTGTCAAGTAGCTTTAACGCGTCAAGACTACTGGGTGTATAGTCGGCAGAGGATTGAGATCGCGCCCTCATTATTAGTTTGTATTGCATTCGTAGAAACCGCATAGTCAAGAGAAAGGCTCGCAAGAACACTACTGTCGCAGTAACAAGCAGACCGATGTGATAAGGCCTTTCCACCAAGCAGGGATGGCGCAGTGGTGCGATCGTTCGCCTCCTACCAATGTGGCTCGCGCTCGATTCCGGCCCGGTGCCATATGTGGGTTGAGTTTGCTGTTGGTTCTCGCCTTGCTCCGAGGGTTTTCTCCGAGTTCTCTAGTTTTCCTCCACAAAAACCAACACTCCAAATTCCAATTCGACCAGGCTAGAGGACCCGCATAAAAACCAGCTAAGGCTGATGTGGCTTCCTCTCTAAATATTGTAATTGATTCATTTTATTTAAGCTGACACTGATGATAAAGCATTCCGTAAACTCTTCTAAATTATAAAATCTACGACCGCTGACCTTGACTGAGGGCTTGGTTTGCCATGGCGACCTGTCCTGACAGGAGATAAAGCTTGAGGCGGGTAAAAACGTCATCTATGGAGGGGATGGTGATGAAACAGTACGCCACACAAGCCTGTGGAGGAGAGGGTAAGGAAATGAAGTTGTTAGACAGCGTATATGACGATCACATAATCGCTATCAACTAAGTAATTTAAATGAGTTGCATTAGGATTCGCGCAGGGGTTCGACGGCAAGTGTTGCCTCAAGCTTTTAACAAAACCCAAGGCTGTTTGATATCAAATTTTACCATTTTGTCACAGATTGTAACACATTTGACAGTTAGTTATTTTCCTTACCCTGATGAAAGACGCAGTCTTTCGTGTGTGGCTTCCTTTAACCACATCACGGGTCCGCATAGCTAACAAATTTACACTCTGATGAAAGCAAAACAGCAGTATACTGTTAATGACAACATTCAACAGGGTAGCCCTTAGGTGTCCACGATATCAGTCTGACCAGAAATTCCTCGCGACGGAGAAAGAGACTGTTCATTATTTTCTGTGCTGTGTTCTAAGGCATAGATGTTTGGATGGAGAAACTCACTAAGCATATAAAAACTAATTACATCTATTAGTTACAAAATCACCACCAAACTTCTCCTTATCCCTCTCACAGCAGTAAATCATAGTCGCAAATAGTCAGCCAACGTATCCTTGGAGCTTTTAGTGTGTTTAGCAGTCTTAAACATTAATTGACTAGCACAGATTATCGTTAATCGACTAGTGTTACCTGAACAAGCATTACAAGCACGGTTTCCAGATTGGAGAAAGAAGAACGAGCGTCCACATAAGAATCTAGCTGCCTTTCAAAGTCACGGCCAAAATCGATCTGCAAAGGTTAAGATCGCGTAAAAACCAATTACAAAATAGACGCTATTAATATATCGACAAATAGCCCATTTCCGAGTTAACCTAAGCCTGTCTGTCAAAGAGAGGCCTGGTCCAAATTGCGAATGAAATCTCATTTTCATATGAAAGGATGGGCACCAAGAGGTACTTCGGAAATGGCCTGTTAAAGAGAACTCTTTAGAGCGCAAAAGATTACTGTGGATTTTCTTAAGCTAGTTAGTCCCTGCTTAGTTATTACTCGGTTTGAATTTTCGCGCGCAAGTAACAACGTATCACGACACGACCCGGATCTCTACGTCATCAGAGTGGAATGGTTCAAGTCAGAGCTCAGAAACTGCTTCATCCACGGGAGAAGACTTGAGCCCAAACAAACAAACAAACAATGTAATAAGCTTATTCCCACCTTGCGTAAAAATCCTGTAATTAAATGACCAATCACTCTCTTCTCATCAACCAGAGTTAACGCACTGTTAAGATAAGTGGAAAATATTTTAACTTTTTTTTATAGAAGACTGAAGTGAGATCTGGGAATTAGATCAGTTGTAAGTAGTTTGTATGTTCTCATTTTGACAGTTAAAGGATAAAAAAATGCAAATGTGGAGTATATACAATGAAAACGACAGCACAGAGATTCAAGCGACAATTAGAGTTCAGAGTTCTTTCCCAACAGCTTTCAAAGATTGTCTTTACTTATATCATATCATAAAGCTTCTGTTGAAGTTGTAAATGGCATTTTGTACCTTAGTTGAATGGCTCTGCGATCTATGCTTTGCCTTTCACGATATGCTGTGCTAAGGCTGACAAAAGTCAAGCATTTTCGGACGTTTTGGCAAAACTTTGGAAGTCTTGGCTTCATTCTCGGCATTCCCCGGGGTTCTTCGTTACATCTTCGTAACTTTTGGCATTTTAGAACGAAAACGCTCTTGGCTTTCGGTCTTAACCAATTCGAAAAAGCAATCGAATTTTCTCGTTAAAACTACAGCAAACAATATTCACTCCTCCTCAGGAATATTAGGTGGCAGCTTCCTTGCTACTTACTTCACAGAGTCGTGCATCGTTTTGCAAACAAACAGCAAAGCATTCACTACCACTGGATCATTCGTCGGCTCTTGTTGATATCTGCAAACAAAAGGCATGCTTTAAACTCTTCCCTCTTGCTGTAATATAACATAACCCAAAATAATTTATCTGGTTTACTGGTTCCACTAGCCCTCGACGCAAACGTTCCACGAGATCGTCACGCAATCTTACCGCCCCTACGTGAGAGAGGAATGCGTGACAAACCGAAGGACAATCCTTGTAGCAAACGCACGTTCGTTACTAACTTACTATCGATCATCAGGAACGATAAAAAGTTGAAAAAGCAGCAGATGAACGAGCTAACATCACACACTAGTGGAATGACAATGCTTCAACAACTGCTTTCTAAGAAAACTTCCCTGAAGAACGCGTCAAAAGATCACGATAAGACACCTACTTTATAAAAGCCTGCATGATCAGTTTGCACACATCTACTTTGATCGTCTCCTTCTGGAACATGTCTACAAAAGGAAGGAACTTGTCCTGAAGGAAAAAACATAACACCATGTTAGAAAAATAGTACGTGCAAAAAAATAATAGGATCATAGGATATAAATAACTTTTAGGATATAAATAACCTATTAAAATATTGCATTCAGACTTCACTGACTGTCAGAAAAAAACGCAATTTTGGCAAATCTTCGTTAAGGTACTCAAAACGTTTGCTATTCTTATTACCCAATCAGAAACAGCGCTAGCACAGCGACAGCTGACACGTCAGCATATCTTCATCAATATGTCATGTTTCTTCGCAATATCCCCGCTGAAAATCGCGGGCTCAATGAATCGGGGTTTCTGTTTATATTGCTTTCGTCAAAATAACACTAATTGCTTGAAACGCGAGCAAATCACATAACAATTTACATACCATCGCTACCAGAATCGAGAAGTCGTGAATGTGGTCCAGTACTTTAGACATGATGGATTGAAGCTGTGGGAAACAAATTAAACTGGTTTGCAGTTGCTCAAAAACTCGATGTGTTACAAGGCCTTGTACCTATAACTACAACAATAGCAACTTCATTTGTACCTAACATTCAAATCAGTTTCACTGAGGTCCCGTCCACAATAGGCCGGAGAAATTTGAAAACGCAACAATCACCGGTCATTTTGTGTTTGAGGAAAACCCGGGCAGGCAAATCACGTGATAGTCGTGTCTTCATCGTTTTCGAAAAGCTCCGTTTTCTAAACGATCTCTCTCCACACTAAACGCAAAACCGGCGTTTTAAAATTCCTCCGGTTTGAAGAGCTTTTTAGAAAAGCTCCGTTTTCGTGACGGATTAGTGTGGACGGTAAGCCTAACTGTAAAATAAAACTGCGTTGTCCAATTCCTCCGGCGTAGTGCGGACGGAGGCTAATAATGAAAAAATATATTTATTCTAGTTGTCCTGAATAACCGTAAGGGGCTAGAGAAACAGGGCAGACATACAGAGAATATCAATGTAGTTATCGGGTCAGGTACATACAGAACGCAAGCAAACATACGCACATAACACACAACGTCAATTCGCGCTAATGTATGAACTCCCCCCCTGACATTCGGTAGAACAACGGAACTAGTAAAGTGAATGTGGGTACAGTACCTGGGGATAGTGTCTCTCAAACGCTCTTTCTGGGGTCATGTGTTTGATGACGTCTCCAATAAGAGTGTTCACTTCACGTTTCTTTCCAAAGAAACACAATGAAACATAAAAACACGTTAGCTTGATGAAATTCTTCACAAGCCTTCAAAAGAAGTTGCCTGAACATGTTTTGTGTTTTGCCGAGTTTAAGGTGGCTCTACTGGTTTTCAGGTTTTTGACGGCTCATAACTTTGTAAGAATAGAACAAAAGGCAGACCAGGGCCACTGAAATATTTTTGTAAGTTTGGATTATATAATTTCTACTTGACCTAAAACAGCTGTTATTTTGTCGTCAGCAGTTACCATGGCAACATTCCACAAGAATTTTCCAGACCTGATTTTTTCGCTTATGTCACCAATACCTAAAAAATTAACCCGGTGACCCCGAGTTTTTTAATCAATAGCTTTTGGCATCTGAAAATGAAAATGCACAACAATTTTAAATAATTTTACGGAGCCGATTTCTTGTAAAATTGGAAAAACAACAATTTGCACAAAGTGCAAATTTCCTTCCGTAGAATTTTTTTATTTTTTTTCTGACGTTTCCTCTCAATAATAATATTATGTTAAAACAATAAAAAGAAGGGGTCACCGGCCTTGTTTTCATGTAAAAGCCTTCGCGAGTTCCGTTATTCCCATGCACGTAGACACGCATTCAGAAATCCAGACTTTATAAGATCAGCAGTTGCTCATGAGCTGTTTTGACTACCGTTAACTGCTTCGTGTGCCCGCGCCGGCGAGCGGGCTCCGAAAAAGCGTTTTGTTTTGTTTGCTGCTAAAACATCATTTGCGGTAAGTATTGTAAATAGGTTTTGTTTTTCTTGATGTATTGTAAGTGACGTTTGTAAGACAGTGACGCACGATGGTGATCAACTCCTCGCGCGAGAAAACTGGTACCAGCTACCTTAAATACTGGTTTAAGTGTCTAAAGAATACATGCAGTGTCTTCAGCCAGTCACATTAAGTCGCCCCTGAATGTATGTTTTAGCTTCTACAATCATGGACAAACGTCTTGAGACAGACAAGAGCGAGAATCTGAACAGAGAATCTAATAATATTAACCGTTTTAGCACCAAAATGGGATCGAAATTCTCCCGGCAGTTTTTCATACATCTTCTATTATGCTCTTTGGAGAATTTAGCTTTATCAATTATATCTTTTCCTGAGATGATCAAGTTCCTCACTCTCAAAACCTGCTAAATTTAATTCATAATAAAAAGGTAAAGAGAAATTAGAGATTGATCAGCACTTACCGTGAAGTGCTTACAAACATACTCTATCCAGGCCTCCGCACAGCTGATGTAGTCCTGAGGAGAGTAAGACAGCTCACAGTGAAGAAAAGAATAATTCTTTAGAACAGACATGGCTGATCTCTTTGGTCCCAGCTGTTTAAATAAAGCAGGTTTTAAACTTTTAAGCTGTCCAAATTCCATGACTTTCCACGAGACTTTCCACGAGACTTTCCACGAGACTTTCCACGAGATTTTCCCTTTTTCCACGCTATCACTTTCGGAAATGTTCAAAACTATACTTGCTTTAATCTTTGGCGTTCGCCAAAATGCGCGTCGTTTAACTTGCCTTAAGGGCGTCTTCAAGGCTAATTGCTCGGTAACTCGCCTTTATTTTATTTTGTTCTTGTTTTGACATGTGCAGCGATGAACGTATCATTATTTTCCATGACTTTCCATGACCAAAAATTAAATTTTATGACTTTTCAGGCCTGGTAAACAAATTCTTGAATTCTATGACTTTCCAGGTTTTCAATGACCCCTGCGGACCCTGTAAAAATCAACATTATAATTCGATATTTGAAAAAGAAAGCTGGCGAACACTTACCGTGGGCTCTTTCATTTTCATCACCACTTTCCAGACCTTAAGGAAATAAAAGTTCACTACTGTAAGAATAAAACAGAGTTTACAAACCCTCCTAGCTTGCAAACTTGTTGTGCCTTTTCCATCACCGTTCCACTAGCCTTTGTCATTAGTCTACTTGCATTTTTATACAGTCTCTTTCCTCCGTCTGAAAATGAGCCCCTCAAATCTTGGACACAAAAAATCCTTCCAACAATAAGTGCTGCAAGGAGCCCTTGGGCTTAGAGAACAATAAAATCTCCTTCCATAATATAGCTCTGCTTTGTCTTCAGTTATGTTATTTGCAGCATTGCATTTCAAAGGCTTTTGATGCCCACCAGCTGATTGTAAAACTTGTGTTCTGCCGGTTTCATACCGTTGTTTGGAGCGTTTCACCTTTAGAGGACTTAAAATTATTCACATGCTAAATTGCTTCTAAATATAACCAGAACGCACAATTCCTTTCGATAATACGGAAAAGCTTTTTGGAAAAAAAACATAGCTAATAAGCTGAGGGCTTAGTATCGGAATTTCACAGTAGCGGTCCTAACCTTTTAGGAACCCGAGTTTCGAACTTGTTTGCAATGTAACTGCTACAAAAATATCTTCTGTAGATTGTAAAAAAATTGATTTTTTACCTCACTGAGAATTTGCAGTCTCTGAGCTTCAGGAGGATCACAAAGACTTAAGTTTAGTCCAAGAGATCTGTAGAGGTGATGCTGACGATAAACAAGAAATCATAGCACAGTTAGACAACATGCAGCTTACAGTGACAATAATCATAATACATGGTTTGATAAGTTGCATCGTGGGCTTGTACGAGGCTTTGTAACATAAATAGACGTCACGCTATAATTCTTTCGACTATTTTATCGCACAAATTAGTTGAAAAATAACCAAGAAAGTAAATTTAAAGATAACTTTCATGATGCATGCAGCGTTTACACAGTTCCAGGGTGGGTTGCATTAACGTTAACGTGAGGCACACGCTATTGTTTCTTCTAAAACAGTTACCTTTGGAAATCCTGCCTCCTCACAGTTTCTAATCAATTCAGTGAACTGCAAGGCTCTGAAAAAACAACAACAAAAACGCAATCAGGGTAATAAAACATACATAACAACCATTTTATTGTCTTTGACCTGAAAATAAAAGTCGTTTTTGTGCTTACGTATTTCACGACTCGGTTGGCATGGCCAGATTTAAGAACTGAAAACACTAAATTTGAATGTGCTTAAATGAAGACTTAGTTTTGGAGTAATAAATATCTAGACCATTACTATGTGTAATCCCTCTTACATTGAAACAAAAATAGTGCTTGTATTAATTACTCACTCGCTTACCTTTCTGCAATATATTCTGGTTTGTATGCTGTGATAACCGAGTTCAACAGTAATGCGCTGACGAAAACAACACACACATGTCATTTATAAAACTACAACTGAAGAAAGAATTCAATTTTGTTCCAAAAACAATTGTGGTTCTTTTTACCGACCTGTTACATTGTTTCTCGCAGCGGTTCAGGATATCTGTGAGTGTGGACTAAAAAGGAAAAAGTTGCACTTAACAGTTATTCCACGAGCGCCCGTTGGATATGAGATGGTAGATAGCTAACGAGGCGAGTAGCCCCGAGTTGGCTATAATCATCTCAGATCAACAAGTACGAGTGGAACACTTGTTTTTATTAAAAACGCCCCCAAATTATAGAAATTAGACTGAAATAAATAAAATCGCCCCCAAAACTCACGCGTGCGCTTACCATACTTGTAGAGCATGGTATAATGGGTCATAACCTATGATGGTTCAGCCAATGAAAACTCGCGAATTGCATTATCCAATGATCAAGTTTTTAATAAAATTAGATATAAGAGGAGAATTGTCAAGTGTCAGACTCGCGTGCAAGGGAACACTCTCGTGGGTCCAAATTAGTGGGAGCAGATATTCTTCTCACCTCTGGGCTCTTTTGTGCAATGCACTGCAGGATCCAGTCCAGTGCAGGAGGATACAGCTGAAGGTACTGAGGCATTTCTAGGTTGTCAACAAAGATGTTGAAAGGAATACTTATTTCACAGATATATCAACAAAACCAGTCCTAGCAGCATGAAGGAAGATTGTCAGATTTCAATCTAGGTTATGTACCCGTCGCCAACAGCACGTGCACAGTAGTGGCCTGGCTGACCAGTGTGTGGAAGGTTCTTGTTTGACTCCTATTGGGAGAACTTTGAACCCATTTTTCGAAAAGCTTTAATTTGCCATAGACCATCTAATACGTCTAAAAAGTATACACTAGTTTTTTTACAGGTTATATAAGGCGCAATGACATCTGAACAAATGAAGCTAATTTTATTTACTTGACGTTTTGTTTCACCGTTGTCTCTGGCCTGGATAATATGGTTGAGTGCTTTATGGCAGAACTTTGGAATCCTAACGTCTGGCTGTTAGCCTGGGAGGTGGAGAAGTCGTAGAAGCCATGTCATGATGTCTGTGATGTACAGTTTTTGAATGGTTGTTTTGAAGAATTTCAAAAACCCTTTTTATGTGACTTAAATGTTCATTTTACTTTAGAGAATTCTGGAAAGAAACAGACTGAATCAATTGTACATGTGCATGTAATGTAATCAGGACTAGGCAGCTAACTCACCAAGCCTCTGTTCAGCCAGAATATTCTGCACTGTGTCACTCTGAAGCTGAAAAGATAGGGAAATTACAGTAAGAAATAGAAAACATGTTTTCCGTGTTTCTATCGAGTTTTAGTATAAATCTGTTGGCGTTCTATCACGAATGCCGTTCTCTGATTGGCTACACTACTCACTATCTATTCTGTGATAGATAGTGAGTAGCATAGCAGTGTGCCCTTGTTAACGAAATGACGGCTGCTTCTTGGCGTTTTCGAAGTGTCTGTGAAGAGGATTTAGATAAAGTTTTGAGCGACTAGTAGATTTACACTAAAGCAATTAGATTATTCGCTCTCGATTTCTGTGCGTGATAGTTGACTCGGGCTGCTCCCTCGTCATCTATCATGCGTTATAGTTCACCACTAAATTTCCTCCGATTCTTATTGGTTTAAATTGATCACATGACGCGATAGTGTTCATCCGTGGAGAGACACTATCAGCCCATAGTGCCCSTCCGAGGAAAATACCCGGATGGATAGTACTCGTCYGTGTAAATGTTTCTGTAAGGAAGCGGGCTTACAGAAAGTAAACAGTTGAAATGTATTAAGTGGGTTTTTGTCTGTTTTCTTTTTCAAATTTTACATTTGGCTTTAACGACCTTTCACGGCTTTCATCTAAAAAAGTTGAAAATAATTCAAGATGAATTTTGAACTGGCGCGCGGAAGAAAATTTAGCGGTGAACGATAAAGACAATAGAGTGTTTATGTCTCGGAACTATCCATCTGATAGTTGTCCCTTGGAAATTTGATGTTCTTAAAACTAGCATATTTGCCCTCGAAGCTTCGCTTCTCGGGCAAATATTTGTTTTAAGAACATCAAATTTCCGCGGGGCAACTATCAATCGATAGTTCCTCGACAGAAACACTCTATTGTTTAAATAGAAATCTCGAGCTCATAATCTAATTGTGTAATTGAAATATAGTTTAAACCAATCAGTGCACACATTTCCCTTGGGCAATTTCTAATACAGAGATTAAATTGTACCACTAGAAATTAAATTGAATCAAGATTCCAATGAAGTGTTTTCTTTTCATTGCAACATAGCTCACTTACAAGCTTCTCTACACACTTGGTTTGTACGTTAATAATAATAATTGAAATGTGTAATTACCTGTTTATAGCTGATAATGAAGCTGAACAAGTTCTCAATCAAATGATCCCGTACATCAGGTGCTACAAGGATACCAACCTAGAAAATTGACACAATTCTCTTATTTCTGAAGCCAGTGAGTAAGGGTGCCATATATATTTAGCTATGTGTACCGTACATCATTGTTGTATTCAGTGACATATGAAATCTCTTTGGGCAAACTAACTTTTGCTCCAGGCAAATCAACTTTTTATTGGGCAAAATGACTTTGAGATTAGGCAAAATGTTTGCAGACGAAACAGACTTCGACCAAAACGACTGGTTACCCAATCCTCTGTGGGAAAAAAAGATGGTGACTGGTCCATTAATCCAAAATTCTTAGTGCACAAAAACTTTAACATTGTTCAAAAAAGGCATAGGAAAGTTCTAACATCTTCAAGCCTAGCATACACAATACCATTAGCACAGGGACAAATATTGCAAAAATATGGTTTTCCCTGTACTTTATGGGCAGTGTAAGGTTTGCACTGCCCATAAATCCCAACGAGGATTATTATATCAATATAGTTAATACCCACCCTACAGATATAAGTTCTTGCATACACTGCCACTAGAGGGTCACCCATGCCGCGAATCATCTTAGTGAGACGAACAAGAGCCTGTGAAAACTCTCTGAAACAGAACCATGATGAGGGTCATCTGCTAAGTATGTCCATCAGATCAGATGGTAGAATTAAATGCAGAAAACAATGTTAACATAAAATCAGTCCCAAATCATATTTTTAAGATTTGTTC